TGGATCTGCTAGCAGATACTAGAATGCTTGACTGTAAATCAGTTGATACACCTATTGTTGAGAATCATAAACTTGGTGTTTATGTGGATCAGGTCCCAACTAACAAAGAAAGATACCAAAGATTGGTTGGGAGATTGATTTATCTATCATTGACACGCCTTGATATTGTCTTTGTTGTAACCATTGCTAGCCAATTTATGCATTCACCTAATGAGGATCATATGGCTGCTGTGATACATATTCTGAGTTACTTAAAGTCTACTCCTGGGAGAGGTTTATTATTTAAGAAAAATGGTCACTTTGATCTAGAAGGTTACACTGATGTAGATTATGCAGGGAATATTACATATAGAGGTTCTACATCAGGTTACTTCACCTTCGTTGGTGGTAACCTAGTTACATGGCGTAGCATGAAGCAAAACGTTGTGTCTTGGTCCTCTGCAGAGTCTGAGTACAGAGCGATTGCCCAAGGGGTTTGTGAAATACTGTGGTTGAGGTGGTTACTTGCTGAAATTGGGTTTAGACTGAATGCTGCTACAAAGCTCCACCGAGATAATAAGTCTGCATTTGAAATTGCTAACAATCCGGTGCAACATGATCGAACTAAGCATGTAGAAGTTGATTGGCATTTCATTAAGGAGAAGCTGGAGCATATGTTAATTTCTCTAACTTTTGTGCATTCCTCAGAGCAGCTTGTAGATATATTGACCCATGCCGTGTCAAAGTGTCAATTTGAAGACTACCTTGACAAGTTGGGCATTACCGATATTTACGCACCAACTTGAGGGGGAGTGTTGGCTTGAGTCCACGTTCCTATTAGGAATAGAATTTGTTCTTATTAGGAATAAAATTTATATTTTATTATAATTATCTAATTTCAGTATAATTAGGAGATTTTATGCATATTTCCCATTTGTAACCACTCTGTGTGTAGTATATATATTCCTCCTTGAGAGAAGAATAAACATATCAGTTTAAACCCTAATTATTTTCAGTTCCTTCCATCAATAAACCTACTTTAGGCATTTTGCTTGGACGATTTGTCAAATAGATTAAGTCAAAACAAGCTTCTGGCATGGATTGTTCAATCAATTTTAGCTAATTTTGTTTTAGAAAATTGTAGTTGGGGTACTTCTTCGTATTTCTTTTCCAATAAAAATATGGTAACTTTTTTTTGTCTTTCTTCTATACATAGATATTGTGGAAAGGGGATTCAATAGTCTCCTCAAACTAAACTCTTAAAATTGTGGTTTGTTGACGTACGAGTATTGTAGCAAAGGGCAGATTTACAAAACAGCTTCAACCCATGCTAATTTTGGAGAATAGGCCTAGTGGTACAGGACCAGCCTTGGTAAATCAAATAATAGCCCACCCCTCTATGTAGAATTAAGCCCACGTGTCCATGTAGAAATAGGCCCAGGTCTGAACCATCACTACTTTTTTCTTTTTCTTTTTTGGCCACCCATAACTCCATAAATTGAACTTCGTGAGCTTAGAAGAAGTAGCTCTCTTTCTCCAAAATTCTATCAACCTCTCTTCGGTGGCTTCTTCAATCTTAGTTAGTTTCTCTCTTTCTTTTTATTCAATTTCAAATTTTAATTGTTACTGTTAAGTTTTTATGATTTAGGGTTTGGGTGTTAAGTTTTGGGGATTTTTTCTTATGCAATTTGTTGGGATGATCCTTTTTCTTGTTTAATCTAGTTCTCTCGTGATTTTGTTGAATGATTGTAGCATTTGACAATTAGATAATGTAATTATGCTCTCTTTTTTCGAAGGTCTCCAATAACAATAAGCTACAACTTTGTTATTGTAATGTAGTCATATAAAGTTAAGTTGAATAGAATACCTCGAGTGCTTGCTAGTAAGTCAGTCACAATTAGATTGTGATAAGATATTCCATAATTTTATTACAATGTACAATATATGCGAAAATTATTCTCTCGTTTTGCATCTTTAATTAAAAATAAATAAAAATGAGTTGTAATGCATAATACTGATACATAATTCTCCCAAAAGCACTATTGATAAAAGCTCTAGGAAGCAAACATATATTCTACTTTTTAGAAGTACCGCCACGAACTCTCCTGCTAGAACTGAGGAAATACACAAAAAGTTTCATGACATCATGGATTGCTTTGATGCCTATAGAATTGGCATGATTGAAAATTCAAAACAAAAGCAAAACAGAATTTGTTTTAATAGGAAAAACAAAAAAGAGTTGGTGAGGGATGGCTAAACAGTATTGTAACTCCAATTCGTTACGCATCGTTTTGGCACCTCAAAATTCCTGGCAGAAATCGACCAAATATATCTTGCCAAATCATCTAAAAATAGAGCTCAATCAATTTTGTAATGTCCAAATAATTGAAGTATACTCCATATGTTTGTCCATAGCCCTTAATTGTAAGACAATTCATTGTCTTAATTCACAAAGTGTGGTCTTCTAATCATACGTGGACTCTAGAAGTTTGCCTGATCAAGAAGTAAAGCTCAAGCTTATCGGATTTCTTGTACAAAGCTATTCTAATTGTGTTAAAAAATTATAATATATATAGGCTTATTTATGTACATGCCCCTTATGCTTTCAAAGTTGTCCAGATTACTACATATTCTTTGAAACATCTTAAAATACCACCTACACTTTTAATAACTGTCTCACGTTACCTATTCTGTTAGTATTAAGAGACGTTCCATTACGTGAATGGTTTATGAGTAATTTGGAGTATGTGTTGGTGGTGGGTGGAGATTTTTGGGAGAAAAATCTTCTGGAGGCTATTGTGATGACTGGATGAGGCTTGGTTGTGGGTTTAAAGGTTGAGAGGGTGAAGAGGAGGAGGGTGATGAAGACCAAAAGGGCACATATGGAAATTGTGAATTGGGCTTTGGACAAAAGGAGATTATTGGAATTGGTTCGTCTGAATACTCCAAGAAGTGGGGGCCACATCACGTAACAGAATGTCTCTTAATATTGACGAAATAGGTAACGTGAGACAGTTATTAAAAGTGTATGTGGTATTTTGAGACGTTTCAAAGAATAGGTGGCAATCTGAGACAACTTTGAAACCACAAGGGGTATGTACATAAATAAGCCATATATATATTAATTTATTTAATAATTGAATGGAAATTAAATTGTGGGACTCGTGACTTTAAGTAGGGGTGGGCATAAAAACCGAATTACTGAATGAATCGACCAAACCAAACCAAACCAAACCAAATTGAAAAAGAAGGATTTTTTGACCAAACCAAAAAAGTCAACGTTGGACCTGACCCGAATCGTTGACTTCGATTCAGGCTTCGAGTTAAAAAAATTTTAAACTGGTGAACCTGAATCAAACTGCATAATATGTAATTATATGTGCATTTTCCATGTGTCATTGTCTGATTGGCCCAAAGAAGCACTGGATCATTACCCTCACTAAGCAACCTAACCTAACTCACTCTCTCTCTCTCTCTCTCTCTCTCTCTCTCTCTCTCACAGCCCTAACTCACACTCACCGCCTCTCTCTCTCTCTCTCGATCTCACCCGCTCCTGTCGTCCTCACCAAATCGACGGCGACGACTACCGCTACGGCGTCATCATTGTCCTAGTCACTATCTCTCTCTCTCTCTCTCTCTCTCTCTCTCTCACCCCCTCTATCTCTCTCTCACCTCACCCTCTCCTCTCTCTCTCTCTCTCTCTCGCTCTGCACCTCTCTTTCTGACAACAAGGAACCATAAGCACCTTTGACAACAATCCCCCATAGTTGAAGACCCAGATCAAGCTTTCATGTCCGATGTAGTAAGTAATCTTTTCTTTTCCCCAGCCAAGTGACATGTCTTTTCTTTAGTAATCTTGAAATGTGCAGATCTTAAAGTACAAAAACACGTAGATATTTATTTTACGTGGTAAAACCTCACATCTGGAGAAAATTTACGGGACTCCTTAGTTCAGAACAAATCCACTATAGAATTGAGATTACAAGAAGTACCCACACACTTATCCTAGACTCAATCTAGATAAAGTTTACCGACTTCTGTGTAACTCAACTTCTGTCACAGGATGATCTTCGACATTTCTTATGTTGAATTAATGCAATACTGGTCCCGATTGCTTCAAGCTCACCGAAGAATAAACGCCACAACATTCTTGGTGCCTTCAACCGTATGAGTCACCGACATGAATATGTATGGAATATAAATGATGAAAAGATTCGATAAATCACCAAGCAACGAGAGAGCACTTGATGACTTACCGAAGAAATTAACCACAACAGCTTTCTCAAACAAATTCAATATATCAAAAGTTTAATACGTAGAAAGCTTGCTCTTTGAAAAGAAGACCCTTTGGTTTTATTCAAAACAGGTTATCTCACCCAAGAGAAACCTACGTGACCACCAAATCCTATTCAACAAAGACCTTCAACCTTATTCAACGATCCTTACAAAACCTGATACAATATGGTGTGTTTATTAAGACGCCAAACATAAAATAAAATACTATCTAATGATGAATATGAATTGTGATTCAATATGAACTCTTAGTGAGGACACCAAACATCCATTTTTATAAAGAAACAATTATCTCCTAAAACAAGTTAATTAGGAGATGAGCATGGTGGACGTCACTATAGGAACCACTAATATTATAACTTAAATCACAATGACATTGAAAATAACTACAACTATAAATCCTATTGTGAATGCATGATTATGTCATGATTTACCTGTTGTCAAGTTTCTCATATCGGTCAAGTCATGCCTTGGAAGTATGGGATTAAATGAGTTGTGCCAAAACATCCAGTAACAATTCCTCACATACTAATTTTCAACCTATGCTAGAGTTTAGGAAATGCTAATACAATTTTCGTACTAACAGGTTTAGAAAAATAATGCGTAGAAACTCCACTAGAACTTTGTAGCGTTTATGCTCTCATTCCTTTCAAATTTTATATTTCGCAAGCCCTCTAACATCAATTTCTGACTCCGCCACTTATAGACAGTTTGGGCATTTTGGACTAACTATACAGCTTACAAGACTATCTTTCGGGGGGTAGGGGTTCAATTGAAAAGGCAATTGTTATGAACTTTTATTAATCAATGAAAATAAATTACAACTAGAAGAGCGAGAAATCAAGCGACCTTGTGTGGACTAAAAAATTAATAACAAGGTAACGACATTCTGATAGCTGTAAATATTTAAAGAAATTAGGTATATCTTGTAGTATCAGGGAGTGGTGTGCCATCAAGGAAGTGCTTGACGAGGGAAAGTCCTCTTGCAGGCTGATAGCTTGGCACTTGATGCCCTGCCCCTCTCACTGTAGCAAATGTTAGCTCTCCTTCATACACTTGTGTGTAACCACCAACCTGTTGCACAAGACAAATATATAAATAAATAAAACATCCAAAATAATTAACGCCAGTGGTTTTGAAAATCCAAAGACAATAAAAAGATGGAGAAATGAGAAGCTACCTCTCCACCAAGAAACCAAGCATGCCATTCAGTCTTTATTGGAAGATTCAGCTTTTCAATAGAATATTTTGTTGAAGTGACTGGTACCCTTGCATCTATGTCTCCACTGCACTCATTATTTCCATAAGAATGAGCTGGTATTAGCTTTAGATTTCAAATACTGAAACTCCAGAAAAGCAAATTGCAAGTTTAATATGATGAAGAAGAAGAAGAGTATCAAAATTTCACCTAAAAATCCACAGTCGAACATCATTAGCCAGGAACTCTTTTAAAAGGGGCAGTACGGTCGATGCACCATCGGCCCAGTTTGCGATAACATCACTGCATGGTTCCCAGTCATGTGTGAGTTTAGTGACATTGGCATGGAGAGCTTGTTGAACGTCTGGCCGGTTAAAATAAGCATAAGCATAGTACTCGCTGCACGGGTCGAATTCGAATATCTGCAGCTCGGCAGTTCAACACAACAAAATGTTTTGAAAACAGCAGATAATAAATATCTACATGCAATATAATTAAGGGCGTTGTTTTTAACTCACTGAAGCCTTTTTGGGTTTTGCAGTGAGGTTGGAGGAAACGCATGAGGAGGCATAGATGTTGTAAATGTCAATGTAATAGGTATCCTTAGCCGCAGCATCAGCCGCATCACTGCACGCCTTAGGCTGCTTTGTGGCATTGGGTGAAAAATCACAATATTTGTTGATTTTGTTTGCAGTTTGATCCGAAATGAGGGCGTGGCTTGCTAAGTAGTCGTACATTCCTCTTGAATCAGTTTCATCGTTAATCACTGCATTTCCAATCTGCATCATGCGCCAAATAAATTTTTATTTACCCAAGAAGGGTGACAATTAGAAGTTAAAAAAAAATGGCCAAAAAAATTATCGGAAATAGAACATTATTTTATTCTTAATACTACACAAACCAAACATGGGAATAAAAGAAAATGACATTAAATGACCCTCATTTTTTAGCGTTCCTAAAATCGACAAATGAACATCTTTCATTCCCATATTCTGATATTAGACATGAGAGTTTCATTTCGAGAACCAAACTATGGAGACCTAACAATAGTGGATTTCTTACCCAATATTGTACGAGCCCGATACACACCTCCCAATATGTAGAACTTTTTTGTTTCTTTACCCAATTTATGGATTTATACTCAACCATATTCCACTTGATGCTTGCATTACACCATACAATAAGCAAATTTTATACCAACGAAAGGTAGGCAATGGGCATGATCACATGGCCCGAACCAAAGGAACCAAAGGGCCAGCCCACAGCATGTGCAACCACAGGAATCAAAAACAGAAATGATGATGACTAGACCAAGAATTATGAGAAACAAAGAGTAAAAGAGATAGATGATGACAAATAGGAAAGTATTTTGCTCCACCAAATGTGGGCATTTGGCCACTTGCTAGAGGGACCAATGCAAGCATTTTCCCAAGACCTTTACAATTACAACTTTCACCAACTACCAAGAATCCAAGAATATAGTACCAAATAGTGTCTAAATTCCAATTATTATTAGCAATAGATTTTTACTTCACAATAGAGAGAGAGAGAGAGAGAGAGAGAGAGTTACCACTATGCCCTTGAGGTTGATAATTGTCTTGTTAGCCCTCTTATTATGGTAAAGAATAGTATGTGCAAGTTGAGGTACATAATGCCCTGCATAGCTTTCACCAGAAATATAGAACTCTCTGTCCTTGTATTCTGGAAATCTCTCCAACCAATTCACCAAAAACACATAATTATCTGCAGCTGTTATTCTATCCCCGCTGGCATCATAATCAGATGTTTTATTTGAGTAAGAAAATCCAACCCCGGCAGGGGACTCAAGGAACAAAACATTAGCAGCTGAAAAAAAAAAAAAGGATCAATTTCTTTAAGCTTCGAAAATCATACTTTAGTCCCTTTTAACTGTGTCAGATTTACCATGGTTCCATGAAAATCTGTTTCTGTAAAGTGTTTTTCCATCGCTGTGGATTCGGAACGGTCCAAGCTCTAGCATTGCTCCATAGCCAAGAGAAGAACATCCAGGTCCTGTGAAGACATTAAGTCATTGCAACGCTTAAATTATAGACATACAGGTAATATAATTATTAAATTGCCATAAAACTAATAGATAATGTCACTGGATCCAATTCACAGAGCTTAATGCAAGAGGAAGTTATAGTCTTCACAGTCTCTCTCTCTCTCTACCAAAAAAATTAGATTCATTATATTAATGATAAATAATTGAGCTGCAAGTTATCAACCAAGAACTTTCTCAACGTTGAATTTTAATTTTTTTTATATTTCCCTACTGAAAAATATACAGCTACAGCTTGAGCGCCGGGATATCCTCCACAGGAGTGAATTCTGGGATTTGTTATCCCAGCCATTCCGCAAATTAAAGAGGGCGGCAGGAAGCCACCTGGGGAATGTGAATGAAAGTTGAAATGTTTCTAACAATAACAAATTTAAAATAATGAGGAATGGTAATTAATTATTGTTAAAGTAAATACGAAGGAGGGCAGTTTGTCCGTCGTGCATGAATCATTAACAGCGATTGATGGATGCAAATTCTAGCGTAAATTACGATTGACAGTGATCCATGATCACAATGCGGTGGTTGCCTGACCGAAGTCATTATATAATAATTGACCCAATTGATGAATGAGAACTATAGATTATTAACCCTTTGGTTAATAAGAACTATTATTTTCGGTACTATCAATAATTGATGAATACAATATTGGGCGTACAATATTCTTTTAATAGTGGTTAGAGTGGCTAGAACAAGGAGTGGTTAGAGTGGCTAGTACCAAACTGGAATCGTGAAATTTTCATTTATTTTGTTGGCATTTTAATGGGATACATATATATATATATATATATATATAGTAAATACCATGAGGTGCCTGGGCCATCTTGCCCGCACCTCGACTAATCTCCACTCGCGAAACTGAGCTAGCCGCTGACCACTAGGTGTTGCAACTGTCGGGACTCGAACTGGGAAGCAAACCCAACCGAACCCCAAAGCCTTACCCAAATGGCGGACAAATCACTGGGCCACTCTTGGTGGTTTAATGGGATATATTTTCATCCCTTCAAATACCCAAAAAACTAAAAACAATAGAATTAAAGGAAAGAATGTATGCACGGACAAAGAGGAGATCACAATCAACCAGACATAATTTTCCTAGCAATGACAAATTATACCAGCATCATTGAGCTGGTGACGTTGACTACATTGCAAGAGTAGGAAAGTAATTTACCTCCATTGAGCCATAGAAGAAGACGTGAGGAATCCTTCGTCTTCTCCGCTTCAACAAAATAGTAAAAGAGTGCACGACCTGCTTCTTTATCCACTGTAACATACCCACCATACTGAGAGAAATTCACATGGGGTTGTCCAGGCAAGCTACCAATCCTGTCCTTCTCCTTCAACCCCTCCTGAGGATGAATTTTGGCTCCATTGGCGTGAAGAATTGCCTCGAATTGGCTTGTGTCGATGCCCGCACCTTCCTTCAACTTGGACTTGTAAAGCTGAGCAAGTGCTTGTGATTGCTTGTTCCCAAGGATTTGAGCTATGAAGCAAGAAAGAATGAGAACTAAGAAAAGAAGTAAACAAGGCTTGTTTTGCATTTTGACAGTCATATGAATTAAGGAGAGAAAAAAAGATATATGAATTACGGAGATCAGAGGCCTTGGATTTTTGGGTTTGGATGCAAAGAAGGAATGATTGTTCTAAGAAATCTCCACGAAAGGATATGGGAGGTCACTCAGTTTTATATGACGATAGAGGGACCAGATGGTTGTGAAGAGTTTGTATGTTCTCAGTCACCAGTCATGTTATGCCATGTGAGTTGTGTTTAGGGAGTGCTTTGGTCATTTACTAACACATGCATTTTAATTTATATAAAATGAAATGATCCAACCCGACAAACGAAACAAGCCTTAGTTAGTGCAGGGCCGGCTTCTAAGGAAATCCGCCTTCTTCACAAAATTTTTTATAACATATTTTTGGTCATGATTTGCATGGCTCCTGAAAATTTGTCCACTTCAAGATGATGAAATGACCAGAACAACAAGTTAATTCCTTCTCCATGGGACTTGAAATGGAGACCATAAAAGTTCTCTAGCTTCATTTCTTGCTCCTGTTATTTTTATTTTGTTTTTTTTATGGTAAAGTACTAACTTTTAGAACATATCCCAATGGTTATAATAACAACTTTACTAATAACGGACAACTTTACTAATAACGGAGATAACACTGTTCTCAGCAATGGTTAAGTTAAGAGAGAATATGCAAAGTGACCACAAGTAGTTGTAAATCAAAAGTTGTAAAAGTCAATGCCTTCTTTTTGTCCTAAAATTTCCTCGCGTGAAAGAATCTGCGGCCAAAAGGCAAAAGGCAAAGGAATTTTGTATCATGTGTAATAGATTCTAAGAACTAAACTTTCCACAAGCATTCATTATATCATCCAAAACAACAAGTGTGAGCAGCACTTAAACTTTCCAGAAACATTTTAATATTTTTCTTTAGGATTTTTTTATTGAGAGCGATAATAATATATTAAACTCACATACATTATACTAATGCTAAGACTCGAACCCAGTACCTTGACTGGAGGCGCAATTGCTCCAAACCACTATACTAGTGAGTCCTTTACAACGTCTAGTTTCATTCGATTTGTCATAATTGTCACCAGTTGCAATGTGAAATTTTGACAGGTGAGAGGAGGATTTCAACTTTTAGACATCAATTTCAACTTTTAGACATCAAGTATGGCATTGCCAAAGAATTAACATTTATTATATTGTATCATTAAGAATCTTAATTATATTTTTTTTTATGACACAAGGATCCCCATCGAATTCATAAATTCTTTCTAGGGTACAATGATTTTAAGGCCCTAAATTTAAGACAATTACAATATCAAATGCAAATATGATCTCTATTACTCCCTTTCTTAGCAACTTCATCTACAATAAGATTTGCCTCTCGATAGACATGACCAATCGGACCAAACTCGAGCTATATGTAAGTCTCATAATGTCTGAGTAAATAAAAAAATATTCTCCATGGGGAAAATTACCAGTCTTGTAACACTCCATCCAAGTAGGACCTGAGAATCGCCTTCAGTAATAAGAGAAGAAAATTCAAATCTTTTGGCATGTTTCAGAACCATTCCCAGCATTCAAGTCTGAAGAGAAACCAATTGGAATATTGTTCATACTACCTTTATTGTTCCATCATTATTTTGAATTACAAAACTAGTTGAAGATTACTGAACCATCAATACTTTTTTATTTTTTTATTTTTTATTTAAGTAAATGCATAGAAAATCATGAATGAAAATAATTCATTTTCTTATCATTTTCATTACTTGTAAATTGTAACCTGAAAATGATGAGAAAAAGCCATTTTTTTCCCTTCTTTTTCCCTTGTACTTTTTCTTGGAAGAATAAAATTGACAGAAGACAAGAGGTGAGATGATAACAGGGGATGAGGCTGTGGTGCAATGATTGATACTTGAATGTCGGCATGCAAGGAGTGGTATGTGCCTTGTAGTGCGTCTTTCGCTATCATAGTGAACATAGAAGGGATATGGATAATATTCATATGACGTATAGTATAGGATGGGTAGTTAGGGATTCCTTCCCTCAGTAAACCTACTTTTGGCATTTTGCTTGGACGGTTTGTCAAATAGGATTCAGTCAAAACGAGCTTCTGGCACGGATTGTTCAATCAATTTTAGCTAATTTCGTTTAAGAAAATTATAGGTGGGGTACTTCTTCGTATTTCTTTTCCAATAAAAATGTGGTAACTTTTTTTGTCTTTCTTCTATACATCAATATTGAACATCTCCAATAGTCTCTTTAAACTAAACCCTTTAAATTGTGGTTTGTTGACGCACGTAGCAATTTGAAGAGTAAAATTTGCTACTTTACTGTTTTGTACCCCATCAACCTCTTCAATTAAATTTATTCAATGTTTGACTTTTCTTTTTGTTTTTAATCAAACATTATTGTTTAATTCGGTTTAATAATACCAAATCAATATTTAAATAATAATTCATTATTTTTCACTCAGCCCCATGTAGGCTTTCACCATTCCAAGACAGCTCATGTTGTTCCAAAGCTTAATAAATGCGTTGGAGTGAAGGAGGAGTCCCAGATTTGGTGAGTGGGTTTGACAAAGCTGTTGGAGAAGATTTTGCTAATGTGGCTCATCTATTTTAGTGTCCCAAAGCCTTTGAAGAGGCTGCTGGAGATGCTCTAAGTGCTTTCTCTAAACCGTACTTAGTAAGTCAGTCACAATTATTAGATTGAGATCACAAATTAATCTTGACGGAGGAGTATTGTAGCCAAGGGCAGATTTACATAAGAGATTCAGCCCTGTGCTAACTTTGGATAATAGGCTTAGTGGTAAAAGCTCAACCTAGGTAAATTAAATAATAGCCCACCACTCTGTGTAGAATTAAGCCCACATCTCCATGTAGAAATAAGGCCCACGTCTAAACCATCACTATTTTTTCTTTTTTCTTTTCTAGCCACTCATAACTCCATAAATTGAACTTCGTGAGCTTAGAAGAAGTAGCTCTCCTCTTCCGAAATTCTATCAATTTCTCTTCAGTGGCTTCTTCAATCTTAGTTAGTTTCTCTCTTTCTTTTTATTCAATTTCAAATTTTAATTAAAAATTAGTTGCAATGCAGTAAACATATATCCTACTTTTCAGAAGTACTGCCACGAACTCTCCTGACTACAGCTGAGGAAATACACAAAAAGTTCATGAAATCATGGATTGCTTTGATGCTTATAGAATTGGCATGATTGAAAATTCAAAACAAAAGCAAAACAGAGTTTGTTTTTATAGGAAAAACAAAAAAGAGTTGGTGAGGGATGGCTAAACACTATTGTAACTCCAATTCGTTACGCATCGTTTTGGCACCTCAAAATTCCTGGCAAGAATCAACCAAATATATCTTGCCAAATCATCTGAAAATAGAGCTCAACATATGTTTGTCCATAACTCTTAAATGTAAGACAATTCATTGTCTTAATCCACAAAGTGTGGTCTTAAATCATACGTGGACTCTAGAAGCTTGTCTGATCAAGAAGTAAAAGCTCAAGCTTATTGGATTATTTCTTGTACAAAGCTATTCTAATTGAAACACAAGAGCTGATAGAATTCCTTATTCTATATGGATTGAAACAACCTAATCTAATGCAAACTGAACACTCGTGTGATTCTTGATGGGCAAGGCACTTTAGTGATGCATATAAATAGAGGTCCCTTCCCTTGCAGTCAAGACAAACTCAAACAATTTCTCACCCATCTAAAAAAAGAGTATCAAGGTGCTGCATAAGTGAAGAAGATTCTCTATCAACACGATATCGGATCATGATTAGTTTTGGAGTTTAGAAGGTTAGTTAGGAGTTACATTAATTTGATGTGAAAGAACTAATTAATATTGATGAATCTGTATCAGGAAAAAAAAAACATAATATCATAGCGTCTTTGTTTGAGTAAAATTCCACACGGGGAATATTTGCGGGTTGATTCCTCGGTCTTCGATCTTCCTTCTCTCTCTTTCTCGATCCCTGTAAAATAAATATAAGTAAATAGACCACACCCGAGAGGGTGTTGGCCAAAGGCCCTACGTGAAGGGAATATTGTGGGAATGTGTTTCCCTCTTTTCGGCTGGGTAGGCCGATTGAAGGAGCTTTTTGGTCCTTCTTCTTTTAGATTGCGTAGGCGTGCCACCACCAAGACACTGATTGGCTTGAATGAAAAAAGTTAGATTGTTATGTTTGCGTTTCTGACTTCTAACCACCCGATTGATCGGCCAAGCAAGGAACCTCCTCTTGGCCTAGGTTCTTTCACTTCCTCGAGGTCGAGGATGGTTAGGTTTCGTATAGGTACTTTAATATTTTTGAGATTTTTAATGATAATGATGCAAATTAAATTAAAATATGTGATTAAACTTAAATACGAGAATTGACGTGCGATAAAGTAAATCAAAGCGATAGATAAACTTAAATTAAACGAAGAATGAAATAAGAACGATATAAACGATAAAGGCAATAAAATAAAGCAATTTAAAATTAAATTAAGCTTAAAGAAAATTCAGTAACAATTAACAATAAAGTGATAAAATTGAATCTCAAAACAACGTAATGAAAAATACAAGAAATTGAACTTACACTAACGAAAGTGAAGAACTAATCTAGTCTACTTGCTTGGAAAATAAAACCTAGTCTAGGGATAGAAAATTGAAAGACAAAAAGTAGGTCTTTGTGTCTGATGTCGGGGTCCTTTGCTCTTTGTCTGATGTAGTTTATACAGGGGCATTCGTCAGCCCATGGGTTGGCCATTAAATGGCCAAAGGTCAACTTGGTTCAAAATCTTTCCTTGTGTGGCTTCCTAAATTTGCGGAATTGATTTGATTGAGATCATTATATTGCAAATCTGATCACTTGATTCTCTCCTTCTTGGGAATGTTCAAGATTTACATTATTCTCTTTGATTACTTTCCTTGGATGGGTCTCATCACGTGCATGAAAACATTTGAAAATGTTGGATCTGCTCCCGTGAGTCGGGCTTGGACCTCCGAGGACTTGGGCTTGACCTCTGATGAGATGTTGCAACTTCCGGAGTTTTAATCTTGGTTGGAAACAATCCACTGATGTTGGATGACTTGGAATTCCAATGAGTCCATCCAATAAACTTGGCCAACTTGGCCAAAGTCTACATGACTTCTTAGTTTCCAATATTGCCACATATATATATATATATATATATACACACACATATGACAAAATAATTATACGTTAAGATGATTGCCATATATGAATATATATATATATATATATATATATATACATTTATATATTCAGACAAAGAAAGAGAGTTCATAGGTTACTCAGTTGGCCTTTAATTCTTTTTCCAATCTACCAAACTGTTAAGGCCTCAACAACGTATTTGCATGGATCAATAAGCTTTTCTGGCCCAGACTATGGGCAATGAAGTCTGGTTGGCCAATTAATATTTTAATATCACAAATTCTTTATGTCAGAATGCTAGTTAATGTGCCTTATCTCAGGTCACGAATTCAAAACAACATTATGACCAATCCAGCTTACTTTGGCATGTCAAACACGCACCCCTCCAACTGTTATCTTTTCAGCCACACTTCTTCAACCAACTCTTTGGCCATTACATTAGAACACTTCATTTGGGCAAGGTCATTGACCAATATGCATATTAAAATATTTTATTTTTTTTGGGAATGGTCATTGACCAATCACCACCTCCATCAGTATATACATATTTGTCCAACCATTCAATTCCAACCCAAGTACCAACGTTGGCTTCTTTAATACACTTCCAGCCAACTAAATTTCAAACCACTTAACAGAAGACTCCAGCCATTGCCTTATCTAGCCAATTCCAAACTAGCCACGAACCTTACCAGCAACATTTTGCAAGTAGATCTGGCCACTTGTTGAAATAAACTAGTAAAAGTTGCAATTTGATTTTTTACTTGGCTGATCCTTTATCCAAACTATTATCCAAACTAGTTGGATTTATTTATTTATTGCCATTTATTTGTTGCATTTTCTTACTTGGCTAGGCCTCTTGGAACTTTGTCTCCTTGACTTGGTTGAAATTTGGTGACCACATCCAAACAGAATGGTATTGTGTAGAGATTTCTAAAAGCTCTACAACCAAACTTTGAGAGTATAAATCACCTAGCAAGCCATATCTAATATGAAATCAAAGTAAGAGCGGAAGCATTAAATAAACTAGGAATTCATGCAAGTCTCATTTGGTCCCAACTTTATAAGTCTATGAAAGTGTGCACCAAAGACTCTCTAAATCCTATTTGAGAGAAAGATAAGATGTTCATACCTTTTGAGTGAATCTTGAAACCAAAAATGGTGTTCAAGTAGAGGGAATGGTCCCTTTGTTGTTGGCTGTCCCTTTGATGTTGATTCTTTATCTTGTAGCTCTCCAAATAGGTATAAATATATGCACCTCCCCAAAGCTCTTCACCAAGGATTGAATGGGATGAGAGAATGAGTAGACAACAAGTGAAGAGTGGTGTTAGCACCCTCACTTGATGTGATAGATTGAAGGGTTTAGGGAGAGAGAGCTTGATGTTTTCTCTTTTCCAATTTCACCAACTTGAAAACCTTAGGATGATAGGATTCCATAGCTACACACTTATATGATCAAAAATGTCACAAGAGTGACAAAATTGCCCCCCAAACCCTAAAATTAATCTAATCAATTTAATGACTCTAGTGACTTGACTAATTCAATCACTCACTTGTCTAACGAGTGTTGGTCCTGGTCATCCTTGGTTGACCGTGTCAAGTGTCGGGTCAACCGTTTTACCTTTGTCATTTGACATTTGACTTTGACCTTTGACTTTCACATTGACTTTGACCAAGTCACAAAATCATTCATTCTCTTCATAATTTCCCAATCGATTCCTTTTCAATGTGCGATCTTATAGGTTATAATTAGCGATGCAGTGGGAATGAATGATTCACTCTGAATCAAGTGGGTATGAATGTAATTAGCACACTACATAGAAAAGTAGACGTTGATAATTGAGTTTTGAATCAATAGTGTGTCTAGTCTATTCTAATGGCCCAGCCCCAGCTCATGCTGCGTCCTGTCTGATTATGTTTAATCCTGACATGGTTTTTTTTTAAAACTCACTCACACACTTGCTTTTGTCCAGCCCCATATTTGTGTTCTCCCTTACTCTCATCTCATGGAAGTTCAAACGGGCCCTAAGAGCAAAGTGCATGAATTTCCTTATAATTAATATCGTTTTAGTCCACCAAGTCTCCTCCAAAGTATGTTTGGATAACACAAATAAGTAAAAGCAAGTAATATTAGTAGCCGTTTGGGGGTGTCAATATGACTGATTACAATTTCTGGGAAAAAAACAACAACCATTTGTAGCCTTTTTGGGTATGGAGAAACTTTTCATCATATAGTCTCCAACAACAGTTATTTATGTGAAGCATCACATACCACCATTGTTACAAATATGGATGCAAGATGTCCAGCAAAATAAGGACCTTGCATAAAACATCGCCTATTTTATGGTTTAAAGTAGAACGGTTGTAGTAGAAGTAGAACTAAGATAAATAAATCAATGGCTATAAATTCTCTTAAGATAAATACATCAATGGCTATAAATTCTCTTACCTTATGTTTGGATAGAGGAAAATAATTTGAGATTTAGCTCAAAGTCGGGAATTGAAGAGTAGAAATTGATATTTCCTTCATCCAAACGGAGGGTTATGGAACTACTCATTTCAACCTTGATTGTGAGTGGGTTTGAATAGAAAGGAAATGATCTATAGGAAGCCTTAGTTCTAGAATATTCTTAAAACTTAGCAAACAATAAAATAATAAAAATTATAGTTAAAATCATATCAAGAAAATAATATCCTACTTATTTAAAAAAAATATAAATTAATATAAATTTGGCAAATAATCCTCTGTGCTTCAAACTTAATCAAGCAACCCAAAAATCTCAATGATATATCACTCAAATAGAATTTAGGGTTATGAATAATTCAGTATATTTTTATTCTTCTCATAAGTATTTATAGTGATACAAATACAAGCCTATCTAGGAAGTAATTACAATAAGTAAAAAGAAAATAAATACAATCCCGGTCAAACTGGTATTCCTATAATTACAAATCAATTATAATAAAAGTAATTGTTTATAATTTGTATTGTGATCCAGTGATTCACATCAAAATCCTCATTCTTCCCACCATAACTGACCCAGATCTAGTCCTACGTTACAGAGAATTTGGAAAGACATTGAAGTCAAGTGAACAAAAGAAAGAAAAATATGGCTAAAAGTTTTCTGAGCAGAGAGATGACAAAATATTACAAGGCAAACCAAGTGAGAAATGAAGTACTTTCTTTTACTATATATATTTCAAATGTTCTCCATTCAAATTTTGATAGCATGTTTGCAAGTGCCTATTAAGGAAGAGCCTTTTTAAGTATTCCCATTTCCTGAATTTAAAATATATCATAAAGGGAAATGAAGATGGATTTACCATGTACACGATAAATCGTTGTCGTTTAGCATGAGGGATTCCCTCTTGAAGCAGCTGTAGATGAAAAAGACCCACCTGGGAAACATACATTGTTGTAAAATCCAACTAAATTGAAGAAAACAAGAATATCTGAAAAATAATAAGACATTCTTATTTCATGGTACCCATTAAGATTGATAATGTTTGAAATTTGAAGGAATGTGGGATATTTTGGGCCAATATCGTCCAAAGATAAGACCTGAAGATGTGACCCAAAGTATCTTTGGACACTCAGAGATATAAAATTGTGAAAGTGAAAGAGCCAGGCTGCCAGGCCCTCCACTCGAATAGATGCCAGCTTTGGACAATTCTGGAGTCGAAGAGATTGAAGAGAAGTGAGGAATTCAAAGCCCTTGATTCATAAATATTTAAAGTTTGAATATTGGTGAGGTGGCATAGGCCATCCGGTAAGGATTTCAGATTTCTAATCTAGCTTAAATGCACTCCCTGTATTTATTCTTATGGACGAGAAACTTAAGTTCTGAAATACCAAAATATCAATTGAAAATCATATTTCAATGTGTCATGGTCATGCCTTAGTGAAAATGAAGATTATAGTGCTTGAAGAAGTTAAGAGTGTACAATAGCATAAAGAAAGAACCAGAAACAGCAAGTCAGTAAACTACTAGCAGTAATATGCCAGAAAAGGAGTCTCACCATAAAGAGTACAGGGAAAGTGTTGATAATGTTTGAAATTTGAAGTACCTGGGGAGAGTGAGAGTCGGAGTTGACCATGTCCATCTGTGGGTGTGGGTTCTCATCATCTTCAAACCGTCTTCTAATCCCTTATATCTATGCGGGGGATGTGGGATATTTTGGGCAGGTATCGTCCTTTACTACCAGGCTGGCATTTATCTTTTAGCAGGGGACATCGAATGATATCAAGTCGCCTCAGTGAAATAGGCAACCCCTCCACTGGAATAGATGCCAGCTTTTGACAATTCTTCAATCGAAGAGATTGAAGAGAGGTGAGGGATTGAAAGCCCTTGCTGCTCAGTTTCTTCAGATTTGGGAAGCCCGCAATTGAGAGATCAGTGAGAGATTTGGGGAGCAGCATCTCCATCTCCATCTCCCTGTAACTGTCGGGTGGAAACGACACCACATATGGGTCTTCGCAATCGACCCACAACTCTGTAAGAGAGGTGAGCCTGTGCAACAACTCCCACATCGGCTTACAATTCTTGATTCCGAAGATTCCAAGTGATGTTAGGTTGGGGGGAAAATAAGTAAAATTTAAACCTTCACCGTAATCAATATTCAATTCCTGAAGATGGTTGAGATTCCGCATGTCCGGTAACATCTCCAATTGGTTGCAATTATGGATGTTGATTTGTCTCAGGCTGGAGGTGGCTGTTGTTGTTGGCGAAGGCAAACCCTCACCACTCAAGCTCGGGATGGAAACCAGACTCCCACAACCATAAATCTCTAAAGTTTGAAGATTGGTGAGGTGGCATAGGCCCTCCGGTAAGGATTTCAGATTTCGGCAAGACTCAATGCTAATATATTCAAGACAATAATTAGTGTTGTCGTGGGCTAACCCATCGGACGTTATTAACTGCAGCTCTCCACAGTAGGATATGTCAAGGCGTTTAAGCGCCCTGGGAAACAACTGGGCTCTCAATGATAACGACGTTAGTGATTCACATCCCGATATTTGCAAGTGCTCAAGAGAAATATGAGAAGAAGAGGAAGACGAAGAACTATCCTCCTCTCTCTCTACTAATGATCTCAAACTTTTACACACTTGTATCTCTATTCTTCTTAGATTTGGGGGAATCTGGTATTTTGCGAAATACAGCAACGAATCACACTCATGAATGGTTATGACCTCAAGGGAAGGAGGCAGACCAACATCTGGAAAAGAAACCAGACTTGAGCATCCAACTATTAGAAGGTCTTGAAGAGCCGTTAGGTGCCGTTAGGTGATGCAACCCTTCTGGTACCTTTGAAAGACTTGCACACCGGTATAATCTTAGATATTTAAGCTTGCAAGTCAATATTTGCAATTGCAGCAACTCCTCTGCTTCTTTTCCCAGCTTTTCAAGGAGGGAAGAGTTGTCTTCAATAACCAAACGATCAAGAGAAATCAAGTGTTGCAATACTCTATCCTCATTCTTCAGTGAAGATGTCAGCTCATCACATCCGCCAATCGTCAAATTTGCAACCTTTCTTAATCCTTCGGTGAATTCCGTGAATTCCCCTGTTTGGGACTTCACCTCTGAAATATTTGAAAGTTGCAAGGACTCTAATAACTGAAACTCAACCCCACTTGTCTTCACCACCTCTTTGCAACCGTCGATGTCTAATCCACCAATTTGTTTATAGTTGGAAATTGAAATCACCAATTCCTTGCATTCAATAATTCTCAGTGTTGCTAATGAATCAAGGTTCTTGTGCATATATGAAAACTCAAGAGTCTCTAGTACTGGAAAAGGCAAGCTACCCTCCCCATAAAACTCAGGACCAACACTTTCCACTGCAGCCATTTCAGTAATATAAAGTTCTTTGAGCAAAGGCAGTTGCCCAAGTGGTGGCAAGATTTGACAATTTTTACATTTGTCTAAGCGTACATGCACCATAGTGGAGAATGAACGATCTCCAATCCATGTTGAAAATTCTAATCCAGCATAACCCCTGATGATGAGTTTTTCAAGCATTCTATGAGGTTCTAATCTGTCAAGCACGCCTAATTGCGTTTCTTGTGTGGCACTCCACCATGACCATTCTAGCACCAATTCATCTACTCTCTCCTTGGATTTTAAGTCGGCCTTCCGTGCATCCTCAGCATCGATCACATTCTCCAACCTTGAGAGCGATAATGTCCCTCGGAGATGGGATAGGGATCCTATCTCTCTTATCCCTGATTCATCACTACCTTTACCCACCACAAAATTAGTCAAAGATTGTAGATTCGTCAATCGACCTAGTTGGGGAGGCATTGCTTTTAGTGAACGTACATTTGAATTGTTGAGATGACGCAGATTCACTAGATTCCTCAAGTTTATGGGTAGCGCCTCCAACAAATGACACCATACCAGTATCAGTGTCTGTAAGTTGTAAAGAGTGGTTGTTGATTCAGGCAAACTTTTTATCCCTGTGTGAGAAAGATCAAGATACCGCAGATACTTCAAATTACCAATTGAATCTGGCAGCTCATGAGTTATTTCATAGCCCTTCAAAGAAAGCACCCGTAAGTATTGCATATCTATTACTCCACCAAGTATCTGATAGCCAAAGTGGCAGGAATGTTCGCAAACGTTTAACTTCGCGAAAGGCCTCAAACTTTTGAACTCCATCAAACTCACCAATTATGAAAGACGAATGACGAAAGCATACAGATTGCAAGTTATCCCCTTTCTTGTCCTCCAATCTAAAACAAGTATTTCCTGCTGCCCATTGTGCCAAATCAGTGACAAGATCATGCATTACATATAGTGAATTGTTTTCACTTGCCTTTTGAAATAATGACCTACATAATAGCTCTTGAAAATAGTCATGGCCTAAATCCTCCATTTGTCTATTGGCTTCTGGTGGTTGTTGAATCAAACCCTCTGCCATCCATAGAAGGATCAATTGCTTCTCCCCAAATTCATAGTCATTTGGAAATATTGAGCAATAGGCAAAACACCTCTTCAAGTTGGAAGGAAGATAGTGATAGCTCAACTTTAATACCGGAAGAATGTCACTCTTACCTGATAAATTCCACAATTTGTTGTTCAATATTTCTTCCCATTCGTTCATTTCTTTCTGACGTAAAAGCCCACCAAGAGTTCTTGCAGCTAAGGGCAGTCCACTGCATTTTTCAGCAATTTTTTTCTGAAGCAACTCAAAATTTGGTGGTCTATCATTGTTAATGTTCACAAATGCATGCTGCTCAAATATTTCCAAACAATTATCATCTGACATACACTCCAAGTTATGAACTTCGGTGGCTCCCATAATCTTTGCAACATTTTGGTCACGTGTTGTCACAATTATCTTACTTCCTTGTGCTCCAACACTAAAAGGGGATTGAAGTCTTGTCCACAGATCATATAAATCACGGTCACTTTTGTTCCAAATATCATCTAAAACAATTAAAAACTTTTTACCTCTTAACTGCTCATTCAAATCATGCTGCATTTTACTGAACTCCTCTACTTTAACGGGTTTAGATGTGACTGATTCAAGAATTGCCTTCGTCAATCTTACAATGTCGAAGTCATCGGACACAGACACCCACGCCTTCGTCTCGAACTCCTTCGTGACATCACTGTTGTTGTTGAATGCAAATTGAGCAAGTGTTGTCTTCCCAAGGCCAGGCATGCCAACAATGGCAACAACATGAAAGTTGACATTATTATGCTCATCTCTCGACAACATTTCTAATATTTTTGCTTTATCTCCATCTCTTCCAACAATGGTTAGTCCACCTAGCACACCTGAAGTTGGTGGCCTTGACCATGCTTTACTAGACGTCCCGGTGCCCTTTAAACCAAACTTATCTTTCCGTTCAGAGATTTCTTGCAACCGCTCTGTAATCTTCTTTATCTCAGAGTTCATATCGAAATTGAGTTTCAGTTTGGAGAATGAACTCCGCACCTTTTTACTTGTGCTGGCTTGATCCCGTCCCTCTATCTGGCGCTTCAATGTTTTAGTAGCAAATTTGTCCAGCACGTCATCTACATCATAAGCCAAGTCTCTGAGTTCATCCAGCCACAATTTCACACCATGCTCTATCAGTTGCTTCTCCTCCGCATCATTCAGCACCGCTAGGATTGCAGACAAATTGTCACTCCATTTATTCAGCTTTTTGTCGACGCCCTTTACGAGACCGAAGTGGTTGAGGATCTCGCGAGGCGCCAACCTGTCGAGCAGCAACTGAAGGAACGCCCCAAGAAAAATCTCTCCCACTGCCATACTTGTTGGATAATTAAGACCGAAGAGACACACACAAGCAGCCAAAGAAGTAAGGAAGTAACATGCACAAATTACGGGAACAAGAATAACGCAGGAAGTCAAATATAAAACAAAATGAAATAATTACTAGATATTTCAGTTCAGAATAAGCACTTATATGGAAATTTTGAGATCTGATTTTGCTTGAGATCCACAAATCCAGACTGAACAAATTAAGATGCACAACTGCAGAAATTAAGTGAAAAATAGTTTTACTTAGGATGTGTAAGTCTCATTGCTGAATGTATGTATGGCATATAAAAACATAAATATAAAAGATTGAAATAATTATTATGCTTGCAAGAAGCACTTACATGGAAGTTCAAATCTGATTCTGCTTGTGAGCAACAAATCTGGACCGAAAAAGCAGAACAACAGAGCTTGAGTCTTCCTATAGTTTTGTTCCACTCTACTTTTGGTGGGGTCGTTTTGTTTTTGTTTGTTCTGTTCTATTTCGACCAAAGTGACTTTTTGGTTGGTGCCAGCCATCATCAATTCATAGAATCTCTAGGCAAAGAAACAACAATGATGACACGAAAGCATCTCCACTAAATCGAGTTGGTGCCATCCATCATCAATTCATCTTTTCATGCCTTTGTCTACCACCGAAAGCAAAAGCAAAAACCACCGAAAAAAGCCACGAAAAGCCATCCCATACTATTTTCACCAACTTTAACACAACTGAGGATGGAAGTAAAAATAAAAAAATAAAAAATTATGTATACGAATATGTAATATCTCACTGCTTGCTGTTCCTTATTCTCACTGTTTACAAATGCCTAGTGAATTGACATGACCCAAAAAAAAAAGCACGCAATCTTGTCTGATAGGCATAATGCTTAAAGTAAATGGTTGCCCAAAAACAAGAGATATCTGCTCTTAAAACTGACCCTGCTGTAACTAAGTCATTATATCTTATACAACATGCATCATAAGCAAGGCTGGATTTTTTACTTAACCATAAAAAAGAAAGAAATAATTAATGAGAATATTGTATTTAAAGCCCTGAAGCATCATGCTATGCGGGAAAAACTAACTCTACTAGCAAATTGTCCTGAGCACGTAGGAAAATGTAGTACCTGTCTATCAAAACGATCTTTCTTTACTGAGCGATCCTCGACTGTTTCTAATTTAATGATAGTGTACCTTCGGTTGTTTGAGCTTGGCTTGTCTAAAATTCAACCTAATCAAGGACTACATTTTGGCAAAAAGAAACTACACCATTGGTGGAGCTCCATTGATTTGAATTTTGTATCAACATTCAACAATAATAGAGATGTAAATTTTTTTCTCCGAATAATATACAAAGGCACAAGCTTCTCCAACTAGTCTTATAAATGAATTCTGAGGCTCCAGTGTGCTTTATTGCCATTGAAAGAAGATTTCATTTTCAACTGCTGTCTACAATATTATATGCATTTAGTTAAAGAAATGGGAGTATTGCTACACTACTAGATTGTTTTTGTCTCGTTTTATAAGTTTTTCATTGCAGAATGCACATATGAAATCTGCTTCCCACTCATGTAATGTTTATACAGGTGTCATGAATAGCTATCGATAAATATTTCGCCAGTGAAGCAGAGGAAGTTCCTATATTATCAACTAGTGTAGCCTATGGAGATATCCTGATTATTTTATTTGGCAATGACACTACTATTTAATCATTGCTCATAAATAGTTGAGGCTAGTCAGAAATGATAATAATTTATTTTTGTTACTATTGGAAACATGCATAATTGTATACCTTTTGTTTTAAAGGTACCAAGCTTTTGCTGGAGCAATTGAACAACGAATTCTAGAACCCTTGCTACACCAACACAAGATTATACTGAGTGCAATTTGCTTTGTTGTTCGAACCAATTTTTTTTTCACGCTATGCGAGGCGTAAGCCTTTCGAACATTAATTTAGTTTAATAAAAATTTGATAAATAATACAATACACAATTAAATTGTACTACTAATTATTATTGAAGCCTAATACTGTATTAAGTATAATCAAATATAAGTACTAATGGTCTCATTCATGCATAATAATCAATCCCTAAATCTAAAAACATCAAAACAAAAACACAATTCAGTTCATATATTAGGGTTATACTATAAATAAATGAATATATATATATATATATCCATGTTAATATATTAATTTAGGAAAAAAGAAAAAGGAAAAAAGGGTAAGCAGTTGTGTTTCAGTGAAAAAGGGTAAGTAGTGGTGTTTCAGACTTCGGTGGAGGCGTTAAGCATATTGTTTGTTAAAAACAAAAAATCATGATTTAAAAATAATAAAAAAGGCATGCTGAACGTCAGTGCTAAACGTGCGTTTCATTAACTTTATGAAACGAAGTCGTTTCGTTCCCAACGAACCCTAAAAAAAAACACGCGAGGTCATCTTCTTCCTCTCGCGGCCGCTTGCAGAACAGCCATCCTTCGTCCTCCTCGCCACACGTTGCCACGCCTCGCGGCGCTAAACGTGCAACCTGCTAAATAGATGAACGCTTCAGGCGATTTCCTTCTGCCTCGCTCCGACGCGCGCTTAGGCATGCCTTTGAAAACACTGGTTCGAACAGGCAACACATTCTTGGGGTCCTTGATGTAAGATCTGAGTTCTCCTTGAATCACATCATATTAGTTGGTTGTGTTTTCCTCTTCAATTCTCATGATTCTTTATATTGTGGAACAGGTGGGTTGATTATGCACGGTGGGTTGGAATTCAAAATACGAGACTAGAGCATAGGGTAGATTACATGATTGTTGTAAGTAATTTTATTTTTGTGTGGATATTGATTTTGTTTATGGAATTACAGTGCGGTAACCTTCCGATAAAAATGCAAGAGATGGCATTTAGAAAATAAACTAGCAACCAAGAGATATCACCTATATATGCTTCCATCGTGGTGGGGTGGACAATCAGTCCAAGCATGGTCTTTGCCAATTAACCCATTTGTTTTCTTTATTTCATTTTTGTTTAAATATTGGCATATATAGATTATAATAGTCTAGACAAATAATTGAACTCTTAGAATGTCACATTATCCCCATTTGTAATCCAAATGGCCGTAGATTCATCCATCATATATAGAATCCCTTATTGATGAACTGTTTACTGGTGAATGTCACTCATAAAAATGGTAAGGACATGCATAAACATGTCAACTCAGCTCAACATATAATCCTATAGAGAACAAAAATTCAGAATCAGCTCTAAGACCTAACACAATTGAGATGACATTCAAACACCGAAGAATATAAGTAATTCCTAATAAGTCAAAAGAAACAAAGAAAACAACAAACAATGAAGATGTCAGCGCACAACCAAATTGGTCATCAACAATTCAGTGCCTAACCAAGGGTGCATATCTTATTTGATTGAGGATGGAATAAGAATTCTGTATATGAATATGTAATATCTCATTGCTTGCTGGAGAGGCGGGGTTAGGCCAGGGCAGTGCACCTGCCTCATTGTGCCAAAGTTCAAATTCCCCTTCCGTAGATTATATTAATTTAGAGTAGATTATCGTTTGTAAAATTTGTATAAAAAAACTCTCATTGCTGTTCCTTCTTACTGTTTACAAATGCCTAGTGAATTGACATGACCCAGTAAAACAATCCTTCTTGCTTTGATCGGCAGAATATTTAAAGCAAATGGTTGTCCAAAGAACTGACGAAACTCTATCATAAATATCTTCCTTTGAGTCCTTTTTGCACCATTGTCATCTACTGCTGCAAAGGAAGAGGATTCTGCTCTTGAAAATTTGAGTTTGGGCCTATTTAACTCCCATTGCTGCTGAAAGTAGCAATGGATGGTTACAACTCTTTCTGCAAAGAGGACAATACCATTGTAGGCGTCACACTCGAATCAAGGAGCAAGCAAAACATCTGGAGAGAAAAAGAGCATGAGCCATACTAGTTTACTATTCCCCTGCAGTGGTTTCTTGAGAAGCTTGAAGGGATGGGAGTTTGAAGACTGTTCTGGCACAACACAACATCGGCTTCCATAAGCTTTATATAGCATCTGAATATTGAAAGCGTTCCTGCCAATTCAGAAGCACATTCTTTAAACAGAACACGACAACCTCACTTATATTTTTCAGCATGATTCAAAAGATACCAAAATAGAATCGGAAAACACTTCCTGTATTTATTCTTATGGATGAGAAACTAAGTTCTGAAATACCAAAATAGCAATTGAAAATCATATTTCAATGTGTCATGGTCATGCCTTAGTGAAAATGAAGATTGTAGTGATTGAAGAAGTCAAGAGTGTACAATAGCATAAAGAAAGAACCAGAAACGGCAAATCAGTAAACTACTCACAATAATATGCCAGAAAAGGAGTCCCACCATAAAGAGTACAGGGAAAGTGTTGATAATGTTTGAAATTTGAAGTACATGATGCTAAGACTCGAATCCAGTACCTTGACTGGAGTCGCAATTGCTCCAAACCACTACATTAGTAGGTCCTTTACAACGTCTAGTTTCATTTGATTTGTCATATTTGTCACAAGTTACAATGTGAAATTTTGACAAGTGAGAGGAGGATTTTAACTTAGACATCAAGTATGGCATTGCCAAAGAATTAACATTTCTTATATTGTATCATTAAGAATCTTAATTATCATTTTTTTTTTATGATACAAGGATCCCCATCGAATTCATAAATTCTTTCTAAGGTACAACGATTTTAAGGCCATAAATTTAAGACAATTACAATATCAAATGCAAATATTATCTCTATTATACCCTTTCTTAGCAACTTCATCTACAATAAGATTTGCCTCTCGATAGACATGACCAATCGGACCAAACTCGAGCTACATATAAGCCTCATAATGTTTGAGAAAATAAAAAATATTCTCCATGGGAAAAATTGCCAGTCTTGTAACACTCCATCCAAGTAGGACCTGAGAATCGCCTTCAGTAATAAGAGAAGAAAATTCAAATTTTGGCATGTTTCAGAACCATCCCCAGCATTCAAATCTGAAGATAAACCAATTGGAATATTGTTCATACTTCCTTTATTGTTCCATCATTATTGCGAATAACAAAAGTAGTTGAAGATTACTGAACCATCAAAACTTTTTATTTTATTTTTAATATCAAC